GAGTACGCGCCTCTTGAGCACTTGAGCACCGGATAGGGTCGATTCCGCATGGTACGGGACCCCTCGATCGTCTCGCCCTCCCTCACTGGTGTGTTCATTGGGGGGGGTCATAACAAACACGGTACAGGATCGAGGTGCACGCTGCAGGAGCAGTGTCGTCCCCCCTCTCCCCGACGGCGATGGCGGTGTGACCGATCGAGCTACAAGACGAGCTTGTTCAGCATGATCAGGGTGAGCCGAGCAGTTCTCACTTCCTCAATGGGTGAGCTTCAGTCCTCAGGCAAACCTACCCCCTCACCTTCGGCTCGTGTGGATTCGAACCACCGCCGGCGGGGATGGAAGCTTCCTGCTTCCATCTTGAGAGACAGCGCCGCCCATCACCTGTATCAGAGCATCGGGGTTCGTATGGAGCTGTGTGTGCTTCCGTTGTGTGAGGGGGGGGCGGCAGGGGGGGGGGGGGGTTCTTTGTTTCTAGCGCATTTGCCGCTCAGTAGGTGCGAAGAAGCCCGACCGCGTCGAACTCATCGGCGCGGGCTCTCTCGGCTACGGGACCGGCCCCAGCTTCGGCTGAGGGCTAACAAGCTGCCGAGCCCAAGTCTCTGTGAGAGTCGTGATTTCTTGTTGGTCTTCAAAAATCCCCCTAGGTGCGCCAACGACGCCTGGGTGGTGGCTCTCACTGTCTTCTTGTGTCCAATGCACGCTCTGCATCCCCAAAACGCACTCCTCGTGGCGGGGCCCCTTCATTCCCCGTTTTTCTTTCCTTTCCCCTTCTAGAATGCGCCTGTGGTGTGCCCCGTGTGGCACCCCGACCTGTTGTCTCACCCTGGCTGGCTCCCAAGATCGTTTTGGTCGTCACATCTCCTACCTACATGTACATGTCCTCGAGCACGTCGTCAAAGTCGCTCGCCTGTCCTTCCTTCCCCCCGTTCTCATCTGGCAATCTCATCTTTTTGTCCCATGGGTGTTTGAGGCTGGCTACGGCCACTTCGCTCCACAGCCGTCCCGCCACCCCTTCCAAAAAGAAAAAGAAAGCAACCGGACACCCAAGGGAGGGACACCCATTCCAAAATCCCCCGCGCCTTTTGTTTCTTCTTTCGCGTCCTGGTGGGCAGAACCCGTCCAAACGAAAGAGCGGCAGTGTCAGCGCTGACACTTGTGCTGGCCTGCTACTCTCATGGCGCACGAATCCGAGAGCAGCCTCGGGTACGCCTCCTGGCCCGTCGGCGCGGCCCAGGCCGCGGAGAGCGTGTGCATTGACCCGGCGTCGGCGGGCTGCTCATCTGATGACTGGGTCGAGGTGCCAGACGAGGACGACGACCCTCGGTTCGACTCCTTCGGCTTCCGCTCCTTCGAGGCCCCCGCACCGCCACGCCCCGAGGCCTCCTCCCCCGGCAAGGGCGGCTGGGCCCGCTGGAGCGCGCGGCAGCTCAGCCGGCGGCCGCTCGAGCTGA